ACAGCCTGATTGCATTGGTTTGATCCTTCAGCAGTCACTGACTGTGGCCTACAGGGTGTAGTGACCATCTTAGGGGAGGCTGCAGTTCCTTTTCTGATCATGTCTGTGGACTCTCCTAGCAAGCCTGGGCTGTCCTAGCAGACCCTTTGGCAAAGAACAGGCTGGTAGGAACTTGGAGTGTGTGTTCAAGCAGAAGCTGAGTGGCTGAGTGCTGTGGGAGATTTGCATATTAATATAGCACCGAGAGTCCTCCGTATTTTAAAATACTGGAGGAAGAAGGGAAGGTTTCTTGCTGAGTTACTAGCTTGTGCTCGGCGCTTGGTATTTATGTCCTTACAACAGGCCTAGGCGGTTGTGCTGGGGAGAAGCCATGATTTGCAGTCAGTCACTCTCCCTGTCTAGAACCTGGGCTCAGGTCTCCCTCTGGAAGCAGGGAGGGGGTTGCCGCTAACTCTCCTCCCTGCTGATACCTCTGGCTTCTCACTCACTCCTCTTCCTACTCCGGCCTTATCTTATCAGCAGTATCCGAAAGCTAGCCTGTTTGGGGCAAAAGACAGTTCTCTGGGCTGTCCCAAAGGGCACTCTAATGACCCTGTCACCTAGGGCCCGGACTCCACCAGCAGTCAGCAAGTGGCAGCTGGGGCCATTTTAGAATGGATGTTGAATGTGGCGTGAGTGTACAGATCCCCCGAAGGCACAGGTATGAGTCACTACTTTGTTTGCTGGTTAAGTCAAAATGTTCTTTTTTTCCCTTTTTTTCTTTTTTTTAAATTGAATTATTGTGTACTTCATGCCAACCAATCTTAATCATCTTTATACCTCCATCCCCACTGGCCCCTCCACTGGAATTCATACATTCTGTCATTTGTCTTAAGGCCTATTGTGTCAAGTCAGTGTCCACAGACATCCCTCAGTACAAGTCCATCCATTGAGGTCTAGTCAGCCTATCTAGAGTCTCTTGTTTTAGGAAGATTAGCTCTTCCTCACCCAGCAGTAATCAGTTGCCAATATTTCTTCAGCTAAGATTGAGGTCTGCTGTCCATTTCCCCAGTTCTCTGCTGGGTTTTTGTCTGCTTGATTTTGCATGGGTCTTGCACATGCTGACACCATTGCTGTAGGTTCATATGAGCAGGGTCCCAGGAGCTTGTAGGACTCTGTTCCGTATGGTCATGCACCTCTTCTCTGGCTCTTACAATCTTTCTACCACCTCTGCAATGGTCCCTGAGCCCTGGGTGGGTGAAGTTTAATAAAGGAGTCCTGTCCAAGGACCAGCATTCAGCAGACTCTTAGTTTCTACACTTTGGCCATTTGTAACCTTTTGTGTTCCTGGCCCTCTGTTGCAAGAGGGAGCTTCATTAATGAGAACTGAGATAGTCATCATTATCTTCTTTACACCTTGTTCTATGTTCTGTGAGCCTTAAGTGCAGAGGTTGCATTGTAGAGGTGCCACTTAGACTTGGGCAATTCACAGGCAATGTCTGTGTGTGGTCAGTTGTGGTATCTGTAATAGCCCCGGTCGGGTGCAGAAGAAGCTTCTTGGATGAGTAGTGACTGGGATGTTTGACAGGGAAGAAGGCTGGTCTCCGGAATCCAAGGCACGTTGGGGTTGGGGACAGCCAAGGTGGAAGGCTGGTCTTAGGAGTGCAAAGATAAGTTGGGGGTGGGGACAGCCTGTGCCTGCTCTAAGAGACTAGACTGAAAAATTGAACGGGTCTGAGTGCAGGGGATTAGGACACAATGGGCAGGTCAGACTAACAGGGTAGTTCAGAGATCTGGGGTGCTGAAGGCAAAAGTAGGCTTGTGCCCAAGGCTAGAAGAAGTTGTGGGGTCAGGGAGATGGGAGTTCCTCAGGCTGTAGGGAAGTCAAGACCCAGTCAAGTCAAAATTTTCTTATTTATTTATTTTGACTTTTTGAGACAGGATCTCACTATGTAGCCTTGGCTAGCCCTGGAATTCTCCACATAGAACATAACTTAAGGATAGCCTCCTGCCTCTGCAGGTGCTGGGATTGTAGGCATGCATCGCCACGAAGTCATTTCTTTATTATAAACATCTAGTCTCCATTTGAGGCATTAGAATCTACAAGGAACTAGGCTGTGAAATGTTGCTGAAAATGTCTTCTCAGTCAGATCCGAAGTCTTTTCCTTCAGGCTTTAGTTTCCGAGAAGAGATTCATTTAGAGTAGATTATCCATTTTACGCATTTGAGGGAGGCACTATTAGCAGCTGAAAGGATGCAGACAGGAGGACAGGGAAAACTGGCCTCCAGAGGGTCTGCCCTGCTGCTCCGTGTCTGGTCACTAGGGGTCGATGTGGGGAGTGCAGGGTGTGCACCTCATGGGCTCTGCAGAGTCTTGAACCAGAAGTCATTGTGCTGAGCTTTAGGCCTGGCATGGGTAGAAGGAGCATCTTCTAAACTCTTCCTCTGGTTTCCATGCCTTTACACATCCCCGGCTCTTCTGCTTTTCCAGTCTCCTGGTTCCTGTGTTTCCTTGGAAGCATGTTCCTGCGTGAACTGACTTCCATACTTCATCTTTCTTTTTTCTCCAGCCCCCTGCCCCAGAGTCTCACCCAGAAGACAGTCACTGAGCATTTTCTCACAGCAGTCACTCTTTGCTGTCCCATGACCAAATCTTCTGAGAAGGGTCCTTTTCTTTCTGTGACCTGGGCTCCAATTTTCTTCACTTGATTGCTTTGCCTTTTTCCTCAGGATAGCGGCCTAGCCAATGAAAAGAGCAAAATCGATCCAAAGATCTGCTCCTTTGTTGTGTGGTATCACTAGAGATAGGCTATCTACTCCTTTCCTCCAAACTCACACGTCATCACTTCCCGCAGCTATCTAAGACTGTCCCCATCTCAAACAACATTATTGAATACATGTTTTCTACCCAGAGGCGAGTGCTAAGCGCTTTATATCTGAAACATTACTGAATCCGTATGTTCCTGTTTGCTTTCTGTTTCTCTGACAAATACCATGACCAAAAGCGATTGGGAGGGGGTTATTTCAGTTTACAGATTACAGCCCAGTGAGGGATGTTAACCTGAAGGCAGGCCTGCTGCTAATCCATACAGCATTCTCTCACCTCACAGTTGTAAAAGTAGCTGTGAAGGGGGCAGGTTGCTTGCTCACTCACAGTCCGGTGCTTAGCCAACTTTCTCATACAGCTCAAGACCACCCACAGTGGCATCCTACCATCAACTGACAAGACAATTCCCCATAGACATTCCACGACACCAGTCTGATCTGGGCAATCCCTGACTTGATGCCTACTCAGATGACCCCGGGCTGTGTTAAATTGACAGGCCAAGCTACTGAGACACCTTGCAAAGACCTTGCAAGACTTGGTTTGGCCCCTTGCCTAGGAGAATACTGAGATTTGGAGACATTAGGTGACTTTTCCAAGGTCGCAAGACACCAGCTGACTGAGCTGTGATGCTGCCCATGCACCACAAAGTTGATGCTTGTAACTGGTAGCTTGGTCTACCTCCTCGGATGCAGGATGGCACCCAGTGGAGGCATTGCACTGTCTACACTAGCTCTCTTTCCTCCTTTTTCTAATGACCTCTTCTTGGTATCTGTACTGTTGCCAAATCCCAGATGGATCAACGAAGCATTTGTTCCTTTACTATAGGGCACAGACTCAACTCCCAACTTGGCACTGAGGGTAGATACGGTGTGGTAGGAAGCACACGTGGGTGCCACCCTTGGCTTGGCTACTGAACTTGTTCTTTGACATTGGAAAAGTCATTCGACAGCCATGCTGGAGTTCCCCACCAGCCACGTGAATGGGTGGTGGTCATTTCTTTAGCTCTCCCCAGGCCCTCACTTTTGTGACTACATCAATCTGCCTTGCCCGTGTCGGCCCCTCCCGTGTGGTAAAAACCCTTCCCCTGTTTTTTCTTGCTTGCCCTACACTCGGACCTTGCCAGCTCCCTCTTGGCTCTGCTGCGTCCTGCCCGGTGCCACCTCTTCCCTTTTCCTGCTCACCTGAGCTCCACCCCCCACCCCCTTTCTCTGCAAAGCTGGGTTTTTCTCATCTTTGTTGGGCTTTCACAGGCCTCGCCCTCCTCCCCAGGTCTTCTCTGTGTGCATATCTGACTTAAAGAGCTGATGGCACACCTTTCAAGGACCAGCTGTGCTCTGAGTTTCTTGTTGCCACCCAGTGTGGTAGGTGACTTTAAAATGGAGCAAATATTTGATAAATAACTTCAATGATTATATTTGATATTCTGGCTCTGTCTGAGGAACAGAGGTACCCAGTCAGAAGACCGGCAGGGACACTGAAGGAGAGTCAGGACACACACTCACATAGGCCTTGATTCCAGTTTAGTTAGGGAGTTGCCCACAGTGCAGACAGGGATCCCTGAAGTAATGCCTGGTAGGAAGAGCCAGCAGGAGGGACTGGAGTCCAGACAGGGCGCCGACCCTCCCACTAAGGGCTGGGCCTGCAACCACAGGCCTCTACTCTGAGCAGTAGACTGGTCCCAGAAAGCCAAGACCCTCAGAACAGAGCGGCAGAGGGCCGGGAGTATAATCCAGTGGGCTGGGCTGGGCTGGGCTGGGCTGGGCTGGGCTAGGAGTGTTGCTCAATAGCCTCATTTAAGGGGCAGGGCAGAATTAGAAACCCTGTCCCAACACTCCAAATTCTTTGCCTCTGCCTGGGCAGATAACGGCCTGGGGGCTGTGGTCACAGGATGCACGGTTCTGCAAACACATTTAGTATTTGTCAAGGCTGAAAGCTCCCGTTTCTGATGAAAGTCCTGGGGCTTGGGAAACGCTGAGCCAACTGTGACCACTTTCACCTAGAAATTCCACGTAGGAGGAAAGTTCGTCCCAAACCAAACCTAACCAGGACGTTACAGCAGATCCGGCAAAGACATCTAAGGAATTAGGATAGAAATGGTGGGTGTGACAGGAATTAGGACGCCCTCCTCGGTGTCCCGGAGACACGTCAGCCTTCGGGGCAGTCTCGGCGTCCCCGAGGGGCGGCGGGAAGCTGGGGACGGGCTCTAGGGCCCAGCGGTGGGGCCCGGGCAGGGAGGAGTGTAGGATTCCGGACCTGCCCCGGGACCCTCCAGCGCAGCGCTGGGCTCGGGAGCGCGCGTGGCGCTCGCTCTGGGACCAGGCAGCGGGGTGGGTGGGGACTGCAGGGGAAGCCCTGGCATCTCTGCTTCCCGAATGCAGGGCGCGGCAGCCCGCAGCCATCCCCCTGCCGCCACTGCGAGCCATGCTCACCCCATGATCCGCCCGTGATCGCCCATGCGGAGGGCAAAGTCGCGCCGGGGACCTGGCGAGCCAGCGCCGAGAGGTAACGGGGGCTCAGGGCGGGCGCTGGCGGGCCGAGAGGTCCCCGGCCAGGGCGCCCTCCGCGGGGACCGGGCTGCTCCTGGGGACCCGCGGACATCCGCTCCGCTCCAGATCCGGACCTCACGGTGCCCCTCAAGGGATCCAGAGCCTCGAAAAGACAAAAAGCCGAGTGGGGTCCCGAGCCGCCCTCCAGCCCCAGTGCGCGGGGCGGGCGCCCTCGGAAGGCCGGGGACTTGGGTCCCCTCGGGGCAGGGGCGGAAGGCTGGCGGGTCCCTGTCCCCACGCAGACAAAGGCACTGGCCGCGGGGCGCCCCGCCGGACCCCAGGCGCGCCCGACCCGAGGAGGCTGGCCTTGATCACCTTCTTTGTTCTCCCCAAACAAGTTTCTTGCACTAAAGGGAGTTGGATCCGGCTTTCCCTGGCCTGTTGGCACTGCCTTGAAAAGAATCTGGTTTCCGGGGGAAATGTGAACTTTTCCAAGGGGGAGCTGGCGGCCCTTTATTGGGATATGACGTCTGTGGCAGGCGGGAGGGTGTCCCCTGACAGCCCGGAGGGGCCGGGGCCCTGGCCGGGGACCCCGGGGTGAGCTCTGGGCAGGCTGGCTGAGGGTCGAGGCCCTCTCCAAGCCCCCCCAGGTCCCCAGGCCCTGAATGCTCGGCCTTCCCAGAAATTTCCAGTTTTCTTCTGCCTTTCCGTCTTTGGTGTGGGTTTACTCTCTACAAATCGCAAATGCTTCTATTATTTTTAAAGCCGGGAGAGTGTGCAGATCACCCGGACTGGGGTTTCCGGAGACAGGGGGATTCTGAGGGCCTCCGGAGACTTTGCAGTTTGGATGGAGCCTCTTGTCCACGGGGCCCTGTTGCTCCCTGCCCACACGGTCCCATTCTTTTCCTCTGAAGCACGTTTAGAGAAAGGAGTTTTTTGCTTAAAAAAGTTTTTGGTGGCAGAGGAGGAAGGAGTTGTGATGTCTGAGACATCCGATTGGCTAAGAGCGCTGTTAACTTGCTCACCCGAGGCGAATAGAACCGGGGTGGAGGGATATTAAATAGCTACAATTCCAGAAAACTCTCCTTCCTTTTCAGGGAGTGAGAAGTCAGGCCTTGAAGTATGGCACGCTCAGGACTCCGGCTTCCAAAACTGGGCTGTGGATCCTGCCAGACCGGCCGAGATGGCCCAGGCTGCCAACCACTCCTGGCCCGGGCGGCGGCGCTCCGCCCACGTTGGTGGTTAAGGATCTCGACTGCAAGTTAAGACTCTAGAGCAGAAAGAGAACCTGCGGGGACTAGGCGCTGAGCACCATGGAGTCTCCATGGTCGATTTTGATGAGTACCAAGGAACAGAACTTGAATACACGTTGAGCTATTGGAAGGGAAGCAAAGGGCCAGAAAGCGCGGGTTTGAGCTGGCGGAGAAGGAGCGGGGCATCCGCAGAAGGTTCTGGAGGCCGGGTAGGGCATCTGAAGTGAGTGTGGGGTGATGGTTAGCGTTTAGGTGCGCTGCTTTGTTTGCTCTCCCGTGTCACATTTTTCCAAATGAGCAGGAGAGGTGGGCAGGCAAGTGTCTCCTTTACCAAAACAGGCCCATGTCATGTCTGGCAATTGAGGTTCCAGGCAGAAGGCCCATGTTCAAAAGACAGGACTTTCTGTTTGAAATGAGATTTTAAAGCACTGTCATCAAGAGTAGCACCCAAATGCACACGAGTGATTTTATGGAAGGGACTCTGCTGATGGGACTGGGGAGAGTCTGCTCCCAGTCAGCTTGTCTGTCTGGCACCTCCCTGGGTGGCTTTTTTCTGATGCCGGACCCTGGTTATATGTGTGACCCCAGAGCCCAGGAAGGGTGCGGCTGGGTTAATTGAAAGGAGGCAGGGGTTGGGCTGGGAAAGCGATTTGCTAGCACACCCTCTAGGTGTTATGCTGTGATAATTCTTCAGTCACTGTGAAAGTGCTTTGAAGATGGTAAAGCACTACCAGGTGCAGTTTTAAGAAATACTTAATGACATAGAGCTAGGGAAGTGCTTGTGCAAACTATAAAATTTTGATTCCCCTGACTAGTAAGTTAAGCTTTGTAAGAATTATTAATATTTCTCACACTTATCAAAATCAGGAAATTCTGCACTATTGTCAATATTTTTATTAACTTTGGAGGGGTCTTATGACCCAGAAGTCAATAGATAACAGATTCCTTGAAAAGCAAGAGGACAGTGAGGTCAAGAGGACATATTTGATGGTGAGTCTTGTTAGAAATTTTTTCCGAGGTTATTGAGGTTTTTGTATTTGTTTGCCTAGAGATTTTAAAATAAAATTCTGTTGTTTGACCTTGTATTGTCTTGGAGGAGAGGTTCCATGTCCTGGCTGCATGGGCTGGTCCGCACATTCCTTTTGCTGGAAGGAAGCCTTTGGTGCTGCTGGGATGTGGCACCAGACTGAGCTCTCTTGGAGAGCTTGGGGTCAGGAGCTGTGCAGCTCTTGGATGCATGTGTTCTATCTGGGCAGAACTCCTGGCCTCCCTAAGGCGCTGGGCATCAGACTTCTAAAAGAGCACAGGAGACTAACTTTAGAGTTAGTTCAGACTCTTCTTTTCAGCGTGTTTAGATGTGTGTTTGGGCTGGGCTGACCGGCTTCGGAGATTTACCCCTCTTCTGCTTGTCAGCTTTTTTACAAGTTGAGGGTTGCAGTCCTCTTGGTCTTTTAGCTTTCAATGTTGAAATGATCATAGCTTCATAGGATGTTATAGAAAGAGTGGAGAGGTCCCAGGCACCCGTTCACATGGTAACTATGTGCTGTTTTCAGAATCATTGCTGAACTCTTCTCCAGAGTGGCAGTATCGTTTTAGAGTCCTCCCTGCAGTATGAGAGATTTGGCTTCCCTGCGTCCTTGCCAGCACTTGGCATTACTCTTTATTTTAACCTTAGCTGTCTAATAGACGTCATAATAGGCGCTTTAATCCTATTGTGGCTTTCATTGTGTTCCCCCAGTGGCTATGAGGTTGCATGTCTTTCCTGCTTATTGACCGTCCACACATCCTCTTTGGGGGAAGGTCTGTTTCTAACGTGGTTATTTTACTGCTGAGTTTCCAGAGCCCTGTGTAGTTTGCACATATGTGGCATTTAGATTCTTCCCATGATGCAGCTCTATTTTTCATTCTCTTTCTGGATGGACCCTTTGAAAACCAAGTTTTTAATTGGGTCAAGTCCGTCGGTAGATTTTTTTTCCTTGACGCATAGTACTTTTGCTATGGCTCATAAGAAAATTGTGGTCCCGGGACTGGAGAGCTGACTCAGCAACTGAGAGCATTGGTTGCTCTTGCGGGGGACCTGATTTTGATTTCCAGCACCCACATGGTGACTAACAACCACCTGTAACTCCAGTTTCAGGGGATCCTTTTCTGACCTCCGCAGGCATTGCAGGACATGAGGGCAACTTGGGAATAGGCTCTCTCCTTCCACAGTGTGGATTCTGGGGATTGAACTCAGGTCCTCAGGCTTGGTGGTAAGTGCCCTTACCTGCTGATCCATCTCGTTCAGCCCCTATTTTTTAGTTTTTAATTTAAAAAATAAATTGGCAATTAGCATGCACATTGTGGTTTCATTGTGGCCTTTTCACACACGCTTGGTTTTCATCACCCCTCCTCCCCACTCTCCTCCCCCTTCTGACCCCCAGCAGTTTCCTCTGCTTTCGTCCACATATATTGTAAACTTTATTATTTTTAGGTGTGTGTTTTGCCTGCATGTATGTAAGTGCACATGTGCATGCAATACCCTCAGTGGCCAGAAGAGGGCATCAGAGCCCCTGGAACTGGAGTTACTGATGATTCGTAGCCGCCATGTAGATGCTGGGAATGGACTGGGGCCTCTGCAAGAACTGAGCCATCACTCCAGCCCCCACATATATTCTATAGCCATCTTTCCCCCACCTGCCGCCTTTAAGACCTCTTCCCCCCTCACAGTCCCTTTTCTAGTTTCTTTACCTGTAAACCCTCCTCCTCTATACACAAAAGTTAAATTTAGGATCCACATGTGAGGGAATGTGTGGTATTTGTCTTTCTGAGTCTGAGTTACTTGACTTAATATAATTTCCAGAACACCGTTTTTTTCTGCAGATGTCTTGTTTTCATTTTTCTTTTCAGTTGTGTGTATTTACCATGTTTTCTTCATATGTTGATGGACATCAAGGCATAGATAATACTTAGCATGGTGCTGAACATATTGAAAACTTTCAATAGACGCCTGCTACCCTTATTATTAAACAGTAGGAAGGGCCAATGAGATGACGGAGCAGGTGAAGGCACCTGCTGCCAAGACTTCCCATCCGAGCTCCATGTGGGTGACACACATGGTGGAGAGAGAGAACCAATTCCTAAAAGTTGTCCTCTGGCCTCCATACGGTGCCCTGGTGTACAACCCCCAGTAAATACATGTCATAAAAGTGAAAAAAAAAATAGTAAGAAGGCAAATTGATTTATAATATGTATTAGTTACTTTTCTGTTGTGATAAAGCAGCACAACCAAAAGCAGCTCATAAAGGTTTATTTTGGCTTATGGCTCCAGAGGTCTAGATGTTCATAATGGTGGGAAAGGTGTGGTGACAGGAGGCCAACACAGGAAGCTGAGCGATCACATCTTGACCTTTCAACCATACTAAGAGAGCACCAATTCCTAAAAGTTGTCCTCTGGCCTCCATACGGTGCCCTGGTATACAACCCCCAGTAAATACATGTCATAAAAGTGAAAAAAAAACAGTAAGAAGGCAAATTGATTTATAATATGTATTAGTTACTTTTCTGTTGTGATAAAGCAGCACAACCAAAAGCAGCTCATAAAGGTTTATTTTGGCTTATGGCTCCAGAGGTCTAGATGTTCATAATGGTGGGAAAGGTGTGGTGACAGGAGGCCAACACAGGAAGCTGAGCGATCACATCTTGACCTTTCAACCATACTCAGGACGCAGAGAGAGAGGAGAGAGAGGGAGAGAGAGAATGCTGGCAGTGGGCAAGGTGATGA